ACGATTAAATTACGTTAATATTTTATATTATTATTATTTTTATCTTATTATCTTTATAAAAAAATAAAATAAAATATTGACATGACTTAACAATGATCACATAAAACAGAAGAACATCGAAAGTAAGAGTGAAAACAATCTTTGTCCGTTGTGTATAAGGTTTCGTTTATGGCATCAAATCAAATCCAAAGGACCCCAAAGGAATCTTTTACTTTGTGTTGCTAAATGCTGATTGTCTAAAAATCGCTCGAGTGACATGTCCCTTCCCTTTATAATACTAATACTTTTTTAATATTATTTTTTTGCCAATTTGAATGCCATACATAGAGGCCACAATGTCAACCCACTTCCACCACCATTTTTTATTTTCTTAAGTTTTTCTGTTAGCTCAGGTTGAGGGCATGCCACATACTAGTCAACCATTTTACAAATTTATGCTATAGGTTTAAGACACTGAGCTGGGGGAAATTTGTACTTGTTTAATAGATACTTGTTAAGTGTTTGGAAAGTAAATTATTGGTTTAATAAACGCTTGTTAAGTAATGAACGGGTGATAAAAAAAAATCTCTCATTGAACAAATGTTGTTGTGAAAATGCTTGAAACATTTATTCTGTTTATAGAAGTTAGTGGAATATGCAAATTTCATCCTCCATGAATTCTAATTATGCGATATTGGGATGAGACTTTGCTGCAATTGGTGAGACACAACAAAGTTCTTAAAATGAAAGTCAACAAGAATATGTCTTATGCCACTTCAACGCATGCCCACCAAGTCAAAGTTTGATATACAAACCTTTTGCCCTAAAGAAAAGTTCCATATAAGGCACACTTTTCCATTTGGTGGAAAAATGTCACGAATTTCAAACCCACCCTAAGGTTGGACCCTTCAAGGTTACTTGAAAATTTTAGTTTTATTATTGAAGAAAAAAAAATGAAAATATACCCAAAGAAGCCTTTCATCTGCTTTCTCTTCATTGGAAATTTTACTTTCCTATAATATATCCTAATTTCTGGCACAATTCTTCTTTTGATAATCGATTCAATCCCTAAACAAGAAAATATCTTGGTTATATTTCATATCTTCAACAGGTGTAGTAATAAACATAATGGCCATTTAGTTCCGATGGAGGGAAGAATCTACTATAGTATTTTGAAAAATTTCCAAACAAGCAGTTTTAATGAAATCTTTCAATCTCTCATTTAACTATGTTCAACGCTATGTATTCCTCTATCCATAGAGTACAATAAATGGCTACAACAAAGTCTCTATTATTCGTATTACTCTAGGATCGAGGAATTTTTTATACTCCTACCTATTATCCAGATATACCAAGAAATATGTACGATCTCTGAGGCTACTATGAAGTATGCACTCATAGGTGGTGGGGCAAGCTCATTTATTCCGGTTCACACTTTATCTTGGCTATATGGTTCATTCGGGAGAGAGATCGAGTTTAAATGGAACTAGTTGCAAGTTTTTAATAAAATACAAAACCGTAAAGATACAAAGACGTTAATAGAACCAAAGTATATATTATATATAACCCTAATATGACATGGTTGTTGATTATTACTTAACTGTTGATTAAGGTATTTATTTTTTATTTATGACACATCACATGATTTGTAAATTTAGTTTAAATTTAAGAAGAGAAAAGGGAAAAGAAAAGCTACTTTATATGTTGCTTTTTGGACGAGGCCCTATCAAAAGTCCTTGGACTTTATAAAGTGAAAACTTGTGTGCTACTCAAGACTGAAATCTGGACTCTTTCTTTATCTGCAATTTAGATTAGTGGGCTTAAAATGCAGAAATAAAATGGGCCACCAGCCACTACTACTACTATGATGAGCAGCTATCATTCCCAGCTGGTTTATTTCAAAATTTTGTATAAGCCATATATAAAATTTACTAAATTAACTTTGTAATAAATCTCTTAAACCAAAAGAGATTAGTTTGTTTGGAACTTGGAAGTGCGACAATAGAAGCAATCCAAGTTTGAATCTCTGTGAACTTCAAACGAGTTGAGCTTTTAACTGTCGCATGAGTTGTAAGATCGATTTATGCGACCAGAGTTATGTATTTTTTTTATAATGTACACAAATTTTGGATTGCTCGAGGGCAAATAATAGGAGAAGAAACTTATCAACATATCAAACAAACAAAAATTGTAAATATCTCTAGGCTAATTGGTAGAGTGGACCATTTCTGGTCTTACTATCCAACTTGATTGCTGGTCTATTTGTTCACCATAAATTATTACCTCAAAGCCTACTGATTGTGGTACCAAAAATTGACCTTCGAGCCACTAAGGGCCTCTTGCATTTTACAATAATACGGCATAAGCTGCATGTAGTTTTAACCTATGCCATCATTCATGTTTGTCTTGAACCCAAAATCCCATCAAAACTTTAACCAAATGTCAATCGTATGGCCAATTGGGTATTTGAGTTATATACGCAATATAATTGTACATACTTAAATATAGTTGACCATACATAGTTAAATATAGTTTATGAGGTGTTTAGTTAGGCCAACTTTTGCTTGGTTGTTTTTATCCCAATTTCGTAAACATCGAACCCCACACACAAGCCAAAAACCAAAAATACGCCCGAAAACAGAAGTAAAATCTTAAGAGTACTGCAACTGATAAACCACCTAGATTCATTTCACTAATAACTCCTAGGGATAAGCAACGATTATGATGGGTGGGTAACTACGGTTATTTATCCATAAATGTTTATATTCATACCCGTATAACCGTTTACCTGTTGGATAATTGCATAAACGGTTATACCCATACCCATAACCGTTTATAAACAGTTATCCATACCCAAAATCATGTACCCATTTAACCATAACCATTTACCCGTTTACCCATTTTTGAACCCGTTTATCCTTGTTTTACCCATCTAATTATCCTTTTTTTTCACCCATCTACATATTTTGTTTTAACAATTTGAAAATTACAAAAGAAAAATTTGTCATAATATTCGTTTTCTGACAATTAAACACTGTTATATGTACATTTTAGCATGCATTTCCCCATTTTAATCATTTAAGTCCTCATACAATTCCAATAATTGAAATAATAGTTTACCACGATATTTTTCTACTACACTCAAGCAAGTCTTTAATTATAATCCATATGATTACTAAGTAAAGCTTCTAAAAACAAAAAGTAGTCATTATCTTGAATACTGGATAATTCAAAGCTCCAAAATATTTCGAAACTAAACACTTTCAAACACTAATGCTTTAGCACGTTCAACACAAGGAGTAGAGTTTGAATTTGGTTCAATAGTAAAAATTAAATTAGTCTAAAATAGTAAATATTTGAACATATACATAATTTATATGAAAGTTTACATATATTAAATTAAATGGGTAAATGGATACCCGTTATAACAGAGGGTAATACTCATAACCGCCTATTTAAATTTCACGGATAAACGGTTACACCCATAATCGTAATCGTGAACTTTAAATGGATGGGTAACCACGGTTACCCAAACCCATGTATATTTTGCATATCCCTAATAACTCCACATGCAAAGAGAACACCAAATCACTACAATTAGAAGAGTAAATTATAGTAAAGTCCCTCAACTTTCATCAAACTAGAGCAATGGTCTCTCAACTAAAAATCTATTACCATTGATCCCTCAACTTATAAAAATGTGTAGCTATGGTCCTTTTTGTTAACTTCATTAGAATTTTGTCAAAATAAGTTATGTTGGAATGCTAAAATTAGGGTCTCTCAACTCATTAAAACGTGTAACTATGGTCATTTTCATCAATTTCGTCAGAATTTTGTCAAAATGATTTATGTTCGAATGGCCACTGCTACAATGGGGTTAGAGTTGAGGTACCATTGCTCAAATTTGGGTTAAAGTTGAGGGACCAATGATAATGGATTTTTAGTTGAGGGATCATAGTTGCACATTTTGATGAGTTGAGAGGCCAATGATAATGAATTTTTAATTAAGAGACCATTATTCCAATTAAGTTAAAGTTAAAAGATCATTGCTACAATTTACTCACAATTACAATAAGCTTAGTAGAGTGAGTGCCAAAAAGTGTGTAAAACACTCTTAGTGCCGTGAAAGTTGTAGACTACTTTTCCCAAAATTTGCGGCTTGACATAAAAACATAAAACGTGCATGGAGGAGTAAGTTGTGTGCTTAGTTACCAATTCGGAGATCTACATTATGGTTGGCAGAAGGGGATTTGGAGGAAAGCAAGCGAGTAAGATGGAAATGGGAAGTTGATGGGGGAGGAGAGATTGTGGCTAGGAGTAGGGGGCTTTCAATTTAGGATTTGGGCTTTAAAAACAGTAGGTGAGGAGGAGGGTAACAAAGAGAAAAAGACGACCATGAATGCCGAGAAATCATGTCATGTACTCTCAAACCGAGGTTAGAAGAGGGCATAAGAGGGTGAAAGTTAAAGAAAAGACATTACTTTTATCTTATTGACCTCACATGATTTGCATTGCCTCGGACAATAACGTTATTTAGACTACCATTTCTCTTTTAGTATTCTTTATTGTTTTAGGAATTGTTCGGAATTATAGAAACTCGCATGATTGATCAAAAAGTTAGATTTTTCCTTAAAAAAATAAGTATAGAGTAACTTTGCTCGCATACCTCTTCTTCTAGACACAACCATGTGTGTTTAGATTGATTCTTCATCATCGATACATAAAGTACGTAAATACAAAAAATATTGATAAAAAATACTTCAATACAACACAAAAACTAAGATGCATGAATAAACATTCTTAATGGCTCAAACTGAAATGGTTGTAGTTTTTGTATACAATTCTATTGAAGTTTATAAATTTAATCATTTTGTGATGGATGTATTTGGGTTGTCAAGCATTCGAGACATTGTTTATGTTCATGCCAGCATGTCATCCGGGAAACATTGCTGGATTTTTGCAATTTTTAAGGAAAAGGAAGAACAAGAAGTAGAATTGTACGACAATGCGCTTCAGGATTCTTTCACAAACGACAAGTCCCACAGCGTCGTAGCAGCCTCTCATTCATCGGACTGCCGCCGTCGCAGTAAACTCGGAGGCCGTGTTCCGCACGGTCGTTTGACTCAGTCGTCAGTCACTCTCTCCAGAAACAATCAACTCAAAACCGCGGGAACCCTTTCACTTTCACTGTTAAGCAAAGTCACAGACGCTAAGTACGACGATTATTTCATCCAAGTAAATTTTTAATCTTAAACTAATCATCTGCCTAATCATTTCCCAGCAGCTAATCCAATCAAAACTTCAAATGACTGAGTCAACGGTCCAAAACCCCCTTCAAAGCTTCCATCTTTCTCTCTGTTCATACAATTCCTGTACAATTCCGATCCCAAACCAAAAACCCAGTTCATAAAATTGGTTTCTGCGACTTGGGTTTTCGATTTCGGATCGACCCAGATGAGCTTTCGAATCGGGTTAGGGTTCTTGGTGCTGGTTTCCCTCTGTTTTACGGTGAAATCCCAGTGCGGCAAGAGCTGCGACGCTCTAGCTTCTTACTACGTATGGCAGGACTCTAATCTCACTTTCATCGGCGAAGTCATGAGTACGACCGCCGTCATTATCGCCAACTACAACAAGGACAAGGTTCTCAACGAAAACAGCGTCATTTCCGGCATCAGGGTCAATGTTCCATTCACCTGCGGCTGCATCAATGGCGACTTCCAAGGCCATATGTTCCAGTGGACGTCCATCAAGGCGACACGTACGACCTGATTGCGAAGAAATACTATTCTAATTTGACGACGGTGGAGGACCTGGAGTGGTTCAATAGCTATGATCCTAATAATATACCCGTTAATGGTACAGTGAATGCTACTGTGAATTGTACGTGTGGGGATAGCGCGATTTCGAAGAATTATGGTTTGTTTATTACTTATCCTCTGCGTCCGGAGGACAGTTTGGCATCGATTGCGCAGACGGAGCAGCTGGATCCGACTTTGCTGCAGAGCTATAATCGTGGTGTGAATTTTAGCCAGGGGAGCGGTTTCGTGTATATTCCGGGCAAAGGTTTGGGCTTTTGTTCTTGATGGGATTGTTTGCGCTTTGAAGTTTGAATTGTTAAGAAATAAGAACTGACGCAGACATTTAAGTATCTTGCTGAATTTGCATAATTGTTAAAATCAAATGCATATTGTTCAAGAGTTGAAATCTTGTTATTTGATTAGGTAGAGGCTTATGAAGGATGTATATGCTAATGAATACTAATAAGGGAGTAGTTTCGTGTATATATCCGGGGAAAGGAACCATTTTTCGACCAAGATGAGAGTTTCGATGCTTACATGTATCTAACTTAATATGCAGAATTGGTAAAATGGAAGGCATTTAGTTGTTTTGGAGTTGAACATCTCATTGTTGATTTAGTAGAAGCTTATGTATGTGTTAGTACTAATTTGAGCATGCTGTGGATTAGTGATTGCATTTTATTACTAAGTTTAGATGCTTTGATCCATATTGCCATGTTAATGACTACAGCTGGAATGATGCCACCAGAAGGAAAGGTTGCATAAATTGCATTAGAAGGTTCTTGTTTAGGAAGTGACAGACGTAAATTAGTGGAAAAGGAAGCTTCAATTGTGAAGTTGAAATCCCATAGCAAAAGTTTGTGTTGAACTTAAGAATGTGGGATCTTGCAGATTTTTTTCTGGATACCAGCGTAGGCCAGATAATTGATTTTCTGTAATTTCAACAAGACATCTTTGGTTGTTATTCATAATACTTGTTAGTGTATGTTACAATGTTTATAAAGTGCTAGGCAGTGCAATGCCTTTCCTGTGGTTATGGATCCGGGGGGCATCTTGTGAGTGATGTACTGAACTGGTCAATTGAACAATAATACAGTAACTATCTTCTTTTAAGATATCAATTAACGATAAACATTTTAGATGAATCATTATCTTGTTTTACTATTTTATTGTCCATTTCTGTTATTGATATTCCTTGAAGCATGTGCGAAAATGCTAGCGAAGACAATGAGTTGTTTCAATTCTATGTTGTTTCTGAGTTTTTCCTGTGGTAATAAATGAAATATCACGAATCTTTATTGGATATCGAGTTTTTTAGGGTATTATGAAGCATTGCTCTACTTTTTCAATATAGTTTTAGAAGAGGTTATAATTTCAACTTTCCTCACCTAAGTCCTTGTTTCTTTTTCGTCATGCAGATCAAAATGGAAACTATTTGTCTTTGACGTCAAGGTAGCTTCTGCTAACTCAATACATTAGTTAAACTAACATTCCATCTTGTTTTCACTTTTTGTGTCTTCTGAAAATTGTTAATATTTATGAGCTTTGTTTCTTTTTGTTCTTTTTGCAGTTCAGGTGATATGACCATCCCCTAAAATTGGTTTCATGTTCAGATGCGAGTGTGTGATGATGATTCGAAACTCAACGCTACTTGGAGCTCATATTTTTCTTTTGTATAAGCAGGACTGAAAGTTGGAGCCATTGCTGGCATATCTGTGGGAGTAATTGCTGGAGTGCTGCTATTGGCTGGTGGTGTATATTTTGGTTTTTTCCGAAAGAACAAGGTGGATACGAAATTGCTCCTAGCAAGATCTGAAGATCAATCTCAAAATGGGCGTTGTAAGTCACTCCTCTTTTTTTTATTCCAGATATTTGTGAACGGAAGAGTTCCAGACTTTTTTGGGTTTTAACTTTTAAATCTATTCACCTTGATTCTTTGCAGTAACACCTGTTAGAGTAGCTGACTAAGATCCTTACTTTAAGATTTATCCTTCTCATTTAGCATTATTCTTTATAAACAGGAGGGTTTTCCTTCTACCCTCCCCCCACCCCCCCCCCCCCCCCCCCTCCCCAACACAAAAAAAAAAAAGGTTTCTTCAGCACTTTTCCAAACGACTGCTGCTAATATAATTGTTAGTTGTTCAATGTTGTTGAAGAAATTGGAAATTTTTCTGTCTCATATCATTACCACCGATAATTTGCTCTTGGAAATCCCATTAATCTCAAATGGCGTTGTAAGCCCTGGTCATTTTGTTGCTCTATTTTGTTAATAACAACTGTTGTGAAGTGTCACAAAACTGCTATGTATTTTCCGCTCTTTCTTGCACTTATTTGAACATTCATTGTATTTTACTAGTTCTTGCCCTCAAATGATCTAAGATTTTTGCACCAAATGGATATTTGACATGACTTCATTGATATTTTCTTCTTGGTCTAGCTCTTGGGATTACCCCTGATAAACCTGAAGAGTCAAATGCTGCTGGTCGAGGCCTAACAGGCATTTCTGTAGACAAATCAGTGGAGTTCTCATATGAAGAACTTGCAAGGGCTACTGATAACTTCAGCCTGGCTAATAAGATTGGACAAGGAGGTTTTGGGGCTGTTTACTATGCAGAATTGAGAGGCGAGGTTTGTTTTCTTTAACATTTTCATGATTTCGATGCTTCCCTTCTCTTTTCTGACCTTTCTGTCCTTCAACCAAATGAAGTTTGAGTTATTTTATTGTCCCGCTGCATTAGTGTTTAGTGTTTGCAGACCATGCTTTGGTTTATTTTGTAATTATTTATTTCTTCTTCTAGAAATCTCACTCCTATAATTCTCTCTGTGCAGAAAGCTGCAATCAAGAAGATGGATATGCAAGCATCAAAAGAATTTTTGGCCGAGTTAAATGTTTTGACACGTGTCCATCACTTGAATCTGGTAATGCACTTATCTTTTCAACACTGACAATATATATGAATTTTGATTAAGAACTATAAAGTAACTGATGTTTTCTTTTCATTAACAGTTTCCTCCACATAGTATCTTAGCATATTTTTGAAAGAATTTTGGGATCAACGAGAAGGGCCATTGTTCATGTCTACTTTTCTGAGATAGAGTTACTAGGCCAGTAGGTCTACTTAAGCATGCGATTAAAGAATTTTATTTTATGTAATTACTAGAAAGACATCTGCACTAAGAAACAGGATGTTATAAGATAAGCGTTTCAGTACATAAGTGCCGGGATGAATATGTTTTGTTATTTATACAGGTATACCTAACTCCTACTTTGAATTCATAGTGATACTATTATGAATGAATTTGGGGAGACATCATTGGTGCTCCAAAAAAGTCATGTGCACTCTTTGCAAGTGTATTTTTGTTTTTAAATATAGAAAGTTTGGAGTGCATGATGACTTTTTTGGAGTGCCAATAACAGCACCCAAAAATGTTCCCTGAGAAGAATGTTCATGTTCTAGCTGTCTCTATAATCTAGTCGTGAGGATCTACCAGTAATAGAGTACTCTGTACTAGTTTGTATTTGTTAACCATTGCGCAACTGATCTTTAAGATGCGTAATTATCTCTAAGCTTCTGAACGATCAATGCAGGTGCGCTTAATTGGTTATTGTGTTGAAGGCTCTCTTTTCCTAGTCTATGAATACATTGAGAATGGAAACTTAAGCCAACATCTGCGCGGTTCAGGTTAGGCTGTGCTTGATGAGTATTTAAGTACTTCCATATGCAAGAGATTGGTAATAACACTTTAATTTATCCAGGGAGGGACCCGCTACCGTGGTCTAATAGAGTGCAGATTGCCCTAGATTCAGCAAGAGGTCTTGAATACATTCATGAACATACTGTTCCTGTTTATATCCACCGCGATATCAAATCAGCCAATATATTGATAGACAAGAATTTCCATGCCAAGGTTACTTTAGTGCCTCTGTTTCCAATATGAACCATTGAAATCTTGTATTGTTCCAATGAAATTCCCCTTTTTCAATGCAGGTTGCAGATTTTGGGTTAACTAAACTGACTGAAGTTGGAAGTACATCACTCCCCACACGTCTTGTGGGAACATTTGGATATATGCCGCCGGAGTAAGTATTTTTTCAAATTATTGCTTTTAGAGTTTTATCTGTTACTTGGCTTGCCGCCGGAGTAAGTATTTTTTCAAATTATTGCTTTTAGCGTTTTATCTGTTACTTGGCTACCAATAACAGATTAACTGACATGCCCCGATCCTGATGTCCAGGGGGACATCAGGATGGTCACTTGCTGGCCGACACCCGAAGGTGACGCAAGCCATGTGTGAATGCAAATGCTTTGAACATGCCATGCATTATCTTTGTGAATTCATTGTTGGCAGTTGAATATTATTTATGTCACATTCTTTTGTTTTGCTACAAATTAGGTGCATGTTCTCAGCATTTGCATTCATAAATGGCTTGCGTCACCTACGGGTGTCGGCCAGCATGTGACCATCCTGATGTCCCCCCCCGGGACATCGGGATCGGGGCGTGTCATTAACCTTTGTTGCATCCTGCTGGAAGGACCTACTGTAAGTTCAATAAGTTGATTGCATAACTTATTTAGCCATCATCCCGACCAATAAGCTGATGGCGGAAGGGGACTGAATATTTTGTCTTTGTGCATATGGATTAACTCCTAACATGGTCGCGTGCAGATATGCTCAATACGGTGAAGTTTCTCCCAAAGTAGATGTTTATGCTTTCGGAGTTGTCATTTATGAATTGATCTCTGCCAAAGAAGCTGTTGTAAAAGCGGATGGCTCTAGTTCCGAATCAAGAGGCCTTGTTGGTTTGGTTGGTTTTCTCACCATCTTTATACTTAAATAAGCCAATTTTTGCTTTCATCAAGTTTATGTTGGGTTTCTATCTTGCCATTACACAACAGCCTCTCGGAAAGCACTCGAGCATACTTTTATTGTAATTTTATTTTTCGCAGTTTGAGGAGGTCCTCAATCAGCCCGATGCCGAAGACCTTCGAAAATTGGTTGACCCTAACCTTGGAGACAACTATCCACTTGATTCAGTGCGCAAGGTGAAAAAACTTCTGAGACCAAAACACATTATGATATATCTCAAGATATCACTCTAAACATCGGTATGGTGGGTATTTTTTGGTGCAGATGGCCCAACTCGCCAAAGCGTGCACGCACGAAAACAAAGATCTCCGTCCAAGTATGCGATCGATCGTGGTGGCGTTGATGACGCTTTCATCCTCAACTGAGGATTGGGATGTCGGATCTTTCTATGAAAATCAAGCTCTTGTCAATCTGATGTCCGGAAGGTAGAATCAGGCGAGTGCAAAATGTGCAACGTTACATGTGCTTAGGAAGTTTCTTTTGTTGTGATCATACCGAACATGAAGACATTAAAGACATTGTACAAGTCGTATAATTGAGCATTGTGGGAGTCCTGTAAATTGTGTGTGCATATATAAATATCAATTAGTGTATCAAATGAGGTGAGAGCGTATTGCTTTCTATCTATGTATCTTGGGTTCTAGTGGATAGCATATTGGGTTTCCATGCATTCTGGATTTAAAATTCTCCGTCCCCACCCACTTGTCTTATTTCTTCACTTCTTTCAACTAGTGTAAATGGTTGTGATAAATGCGAATGAGGTAGACGGGCTTAATAGTACTCACGGAAAATCATGAATTATAGATAAAATTTTTATCGAATCATAAAATTGCAATTCACAATTTAAAAAGTCATCATGCACTCTTCTTTAATTAAAAAAAAAAAAACAAATAAAAAGAATTGTATGAAGTGTGTGATCAATTTTTTAGAGTGACATTCCAGTAATGAAAAAGTGATTAATTTTTTCATCAATTTCCATTTCAAGAATTGTGTGATTGGTTCTAGACAGGGACATCAAAGAAAGCAGAACGAAAGGGGAAAAATGGATCACTCATTTTCCGATTGTTAGTGTAAAATTGGCAGTTTTTAACATAATGTCCGAGTTTGTAATGTCGTAGACTAATACATGTTTTCAATTGTAGCTATTAAGTTTGTTTTACGTGTTCTCGGTCACAAAAATATCAAACATTTCATAGACATCCACTTAAATGAGTTCAGCTAAGTTTTTCTTCAGTAGACTATTTAGTTTTGGGTTACATATTGAGTTGTATTTTTTATCAAGACAAGAGCGTTGGTCTTATTTGTATAACTAATTATGCTTTAGTTAAAGCCATATTTTTAAGTAAACATAAAACCCTAATTTTGCCGCATGATTGACAATGTCTAATGGGGTTTAACCCTTATCATAACTCATCTGTTCATGTGATTAGGGTTTATCTTAATTTTAATCAACGTTTTTAATTCTTTTTGTTTTTGCATGCTTATCTGGTTGTACCTGTCCTATATACAGTAGGGTTTGGTGCTGCCACTGCACGAGGGATTGAGGCGTCAAAATATATTTGTGTGTGAGATTTGTGGCCATCTAGGTTCAATCTTTTCAATACTCTTTTGCTGTGATTGTGCATTTAGCTTTGAATATATATAATAGCTTAGAGCAGCCGCATACATTAGTATGAGTTTATTTATTTGTAGCTATCCCATGCATTGAGTGTATGTGTATATTGAAAGAAAAATCTGATAGCAAGCCTTTATAAAAATGCTTCATTTTCATAATTGATTGATTTTCAAAAAATATTTCATTACATACATTCTACATGATCTTGTTAGTATGTTGCAAAGTTCGAGAAAGAAATGATTGACGGCCTGAGTTAGTGTTTTGCCACTTATATTCGAAAACTAAAGAGATATTGAGTAGCAAAACACGGAAAAAAAACTACATATAGTTGATGAGTTTTGTCAATCTTTCTGTACTCATTTCTCTTAGCGGTGGCTTGCGAGTCTGAAGATTTTTCAGTAGTGAGCTTTGTCTCATTAAATTCTACATCATGTGTGCACGTTTTATTTATCTTTTTAACTGCATATGTGTACAATAGTTTGATATGTAAATTGTAATGTGGATATGAAAATTAAATTTAAATTGAATTTTAAGTTGAAGTTTATTCACCCCTATTAAGTTAAACTAGTATGTATAGAACTTCCCCCCTTGCCTGTTGTGTGCCAAGGAAAGATATGAAAGCCATCAGATATCCTTGGAAACCAAGATTGTTTATAGACGAAATCAAAGAACTTTTTCTTGTTAATGGTTGTAGGGTTTGTTTTTTTCTTCTTCTTTTTGGTGGTTCGAGGATATTTCTGTGTAACTCTGCTGTCTGCATGCTATGCCTTTGATATTTAGTTTTTTTTTAAGTTGCCTTTGATATTAGAGGAAATGAAAGGCAATATATAAATATTTGGTTACAGGCTTACAAATTTTAGATTGAACAAATTAAAGGTTGATATATAAATATTAAATATAAATAATGAAACAAGTGCGTGAAATTTTAGTAATGTTAAATAGATTAAATTTTTAATCAAGTTTGTAACCATATGATTTATCGTTAATAAAAATAAACACGTTAATTAAAACTAAATAATAATATATACAATCATCAACAATAGCATTATAAGTTTATAAAATTTAGTTTAAAAAATTGATCTCTCTAGTATAATATTTTTTACCAATACTTGATTCAATCTACAACAAAAAAATTTTCAATCTTCCGAAGCACAAGCCAGTACAGTATATGTATTAACACAAGCGAAGAAATACTAAGAAATATATTTCGCTTTTCACTTGTTCCATAAAATGTAGTGTACCAATTCACAGGAAAAATATCTCCATCTTAATTTCAAAAATTAAAATTCTCAATGTTGCATGATGCGATGGTTATGTCGCCGCAATCTATCCTCTTCTTTGTTGGATTCTGTAACATAGTAGATTTTTTTCTGTAGATTTTCCATTAGGTTTGATTGTTAAATCTGATAAATGGAAGAAAATCAAAACACATAATTAAATGATAGAAAAAGTAAAACGAAGTAGGTGGCATCCCTTTCCAATATACAACCACGCAGTATTCAAACCAAATGCTAGGCTGAAATGCAAAAGTTAAAAGGACAAAATCGATCTATTTTCCAGAAGCAACCTGCGTAATGATGTCTTTGACTACCCAAGACACACATCAAAATCGATGAATATACAATCTTTGGCTCCAAGCAACCTGACGTTCTTTCGAGAAATTTTTTTCTATATATTTTTTCTAGAATTTTCCACTGGGGACTGTAAAATTCCGAGAAAAACATAAATTCTAGAAAAACATGCCACGCATCAATGTCAGTGGAAAATTCTAGAAAATTTTGTTTTCTTGTGCCATAAGACTTCTGATTTGACCGACGACATGAGGCCAATGGCCATCGATATTTGCTCTTTTTGTATACTTTGGGTCCAGACTATTTTATTGTTTGAACCAAAAATGAAAAAGACTATTTTCTTGTGGCCGATAAATAAAAAAGAGAAATGGTATCAATATTTTTTTGAAAATGAATTTTTTTATAAACGTTATGTTACTTTATATTTTTTGTATAATATTTTATAATGATAATATGAAAATTAAAATTTTTAGACTTTTTATGTAGATAATGTTATATCAAAATTTTTAAACCAAATGATATGATTGTAAATAATTAGATTATTAATTAAGTATCATTAACGTACTTATCTTTTATTAGTAACACATCATTTGATTTGTAATTTAATTTAAAATTTTGACCATCTAGTATTATTATTTTGTGTGATTTAACCATTTAATTTTCCAACCGTGCTATATCTGACTTGCTGGCATATCATGGGACATTTTTAAAGATTTAACCATTAATCCAGCCGACTTAAATTTATGTAAACAATTTTGGGGTAGTGAATCCATGTAATATCCAGCTTGATAATGTCATAATTCCAAGTTTGGTTACCAAAAACAATGAATGTGATTCACCTACTAAAATAACCTAGTCTCATACACTGATGATGTTATTTCTAAAAATTCTTGCTTAGGCGTTAGGTACTGATCATAGTCTTGATTAATCCCTAAACATATAAAAATTAAGAAATGGCTCCTAAACCCGCCTAGGCACCTGCCTAGCTAGCCACATCATCAACAGAAAATAAGTACGCTTAATTATATCAAATTTGCAAACTATGTGATAATGTCATCAATAGAAAATAAACACATTCATAAAAAATTAATTAAGAATCTAACCATCAACATCCACGTCATATAGTTTACAAAATATGTTTTAAATAGATGATCTCCCAATATTACCCTTATTCTCATGTTAAATCAATTAAGGAATGTAAAAACAGCCACACACGATTGACATACAATACATAATAAAAACTCAAACCAAGCGATTGAATAGCGATTGTATTATTGATTTTGCGTCACATTTAACCTAAAATTGTTAGATCATATGTCTTTACTTAGCTACTCAAAGTTCTATAATTGAAACTGTCGCAACCCTTACATTATTGGGAAATTAATTAAAATCGTTTTCATTGATGTATAAAACAGTTTGTCTTAAATAAATGTGAACTCCTGCGCATTTGTATATTGCATTTAGAAGAAAACTATTGTATATGCCGATTATGTACGTATAAGCATAACTAACCCCAGTAATCAAAGAAAATTACTTCAACCAAAGCGATGACCTGATGAAAGCGATATAACTAAGTCGATATCGATACATTCTTTCTTAAAAAAAAAATCCCAACTTTTACGATATTAGGGGTCCTTTAGTAATTGCCATCTCATTCTATTTTTCAAGATAAAGGAAGCCAAATTTCAGTTTCCTCTTTCTGCTGTCCAGTAAAACCTTTTTTTCTTCTTGACCTAATTTCCCCAATATTTTTGAATAATCAGAAACCAACAAATCGGTGCAAATTATCTTTTAGCACCTATAATTCACATATATTGCCAAATGCGGCCTAAGATATATCCTTGTTAGCACCTACTTGCCCTCCTCCCCCTAACCCTTCTATTATATATCTAATTCTCTTCTCAAATTTGTTAATAAATACTTGATTATTTTTTAATGGGTAATACTAGAGAGACTAAATTTTTAAACTAAATGATGTGGTTGCAGATGATTAAGTTATTAATTAAGTGTCAATTAACGTGCTTGTTTCTTATTGGTGACACATCATTTGGTTTACAAATTTGGTTAAAAATTTGGTCTCTCTAGCATTAATTTTTCTAAATTGAGAAATGCTAAGGAGACTCTCTTAAAGTTGGACACTCTATAAACTATTTGCCACAAATTTAACGTTAATTTTCATGTCAATATATAAAATATTGTGCTAAAAATGTGAAGTAGCAGAGATTCAACGGAAAGTAACACTTTTAAGAGAGTCTTTTAGTATTTATCTTCCAAATTATATTATATAATTAATTAGGCGTGCCGACCACGTATAAATATTTGTAAATAAATAAAAACCAAGCAGTTGTCTCCACGCTTCTTCTATATCTCCTTTCTCTCACGACTTGTGTTTTTTGCTTCCATCCCAACCATGGAAGCAGTCCAAGCTACAGAAGAAGAAATAATCACAACCCTACGTCTGGATGATGTCAAATCAACCTTGCC